AAGCTTTATTTTCCATTGTCTCGCCTTTCTGCGAAATTTGACACTGATGAGTCATTGTGTTTACAGCTGGATGACCTTGAGAACATCTGGTGTTGGATTTTTCCGGGCATTCTCATAGACGTCTCGGGAGGACAAGGGTTTAAAGTAGGGTGACTACTAACTAGGCCTATATTTTTAAAAAATTATAATTTTTGTGATTTCCGACCCCCTAATTAATTAAACATATATATAATAAAATCTATTAATTAAAAAAATTAAAAAACTATCGGAGGTTGTTTTTGACATCAGAAACTAGCTTTAAATAACTTTACCGAAGGAAAATCGGTGCACTACAACTTTAGAACCATGAAATAAATTTGATAAAAAAGTCCCATTAAAAAACAATTAAAAAGCAATAAAGCGTGAAGCGCACATCATTAAAGGTTGATTAAAATTGCTAGAAAATTTTTTCGCGCGGGAAAAAAATTTTGAAAAAATTTGGGGACCTAAAAAACATTCCAAAAATCAAAATTAAGTCAGGGACTGGCTGTAGTTCTTAGAATGTGTTTTGGTGCTGTTCTTTATATAAATATTATTTTTAAAGGTGTTTATATGGAGTAAATGCTAATTATGTATTTTATTTTAATAGGTTTAGAAAATATATTGGCTAAAACTGCAGGTGATTATTGCTATGGAGATCAAATAACATTAGCAGATTTGTGCCTTGTTCCACAAGTTTATAATGCTGAAAGATATGGAGTAGAGATGTCAGAGTTTCCTATTATATCTCGTATCAATGGGAAACTTCTTTCTCATGAGGCATTTATCAATTCTCATCCATCTTGTCAACCTGATACACCTAAGATTTAAGTTTATTTCAGATTTTGTATTTTTTCATTTAAAAATGAATGAATTTGTTATAATGTATTTTTTATGAAAAATGTAATATTTTTATGTAATTATATCCCATATAAAATAAACTTTAGGACTGAAGTTAACAATATTTTTTTACAGTTCTTTCTCTGTATATACATATCCACTAAAACATCAAATTTCTGTTGTTAGCCTTTATTTCTTAACTACAGTGCAATGCGGAATTATTTGCCAAAAGAATTTTTTAAAATTACACTGAGTTATTTAGAATAAGTAGATGTCAAAATTTTATAATTTTTAACATAGTGACCACACACCAAATACCATCCTGATTGTTTTTGCATAGTTTTTGTTTGGATTAATCAGTCATTTCACAGTGGTGCAAAATTTCACACCATATATGTACAAATAAATTACAATAGCAATAATATACAAATTTGTGATGCATAATGCCATAGGTAAGTAGATACTGCATTTTTCATTACTTAAAAACAAAGTGTAAGTTGCAGCTTAAACTTTCAGCACATTTTTAACTATGCTTTGAGGAAAAGTGCTAACTAACTTTGAAAAAGATCAAAATCTTGATTTACACTCAAATGGGCAGTCAATAAATGAAATATCTGCTATCATTCAATGCTCTAGAGATGTGATCAGAAAATACAATAATCCTGATGGCTGTCACAGTATGAAACAAAGTGGAAGGCCTTCTTCACTCTCCAGCCTTGACAAAAGAATGATTTGTTGAGCTGCTAGCAATAGAAACATTACTGCAAATCAAATCCTACTTCAAAATAGACCATTGAAAGAATGCTTTGCTCATCATCTCATGTAAAATATTCAAAAAAGATGCCTAACCCTGTCTGAAAGATCACCATAAGATAGCAAGAGTTGAATGGACAGATGATTTGGACAACGAGTGACATGAAATCATTTTCAGTGATTTAAAAAAGTTCAACTTGGATGACCAAGTGAATATCAACATTATTGGCACGACAAAAAAAAGAGCAAGTTTATTCTAACATGTCCAAAGCATGGGTGAGTAATGATTTGGACAGCTTTTAGGTGGAAAGAAAATCTGAAATTGTCTTTCTAAATCAGCAGATGAATGCAACAACATATCAAAAAGTGCTAGTAGAACATCATCAAATATCCACTACTAAAAAACCTTATAAACTGCAGCCATATTTATTAGCAAATTCAAACGTTTTCAGTCATCTTTAATGACCTTTATCAAGAACAAAACTAAATCGAATGCTGACAGATTTGTATTAACGATAAACACATTTTGGAATGTTTTTTAAAAACTTTTAGTGTGCAATCCTATCAGCACAAGATTGCGCACTAAAAGTTTTTAAAATACATTCCAAAACGCATTTATCGTTAATACAAATCTGTCAGCATTTGATTTAGTTTTGTTCTTGATAAAGGTCATTAAAGATGACCGAAAACATTTGAATTTGCTAATAAATATGGCTGCAGTTTATAAGGTTTTTGAGTAGTGGATATTTGGTATGAAATGCAGTCTATGAAGAGATCATCATCTAATTTGCAAAAAAATCAGAAGAGAAAAATGGAAATTCCAACATAATAATTGATATTCAATGCAAACAGTGGTTTATCAAACATCATCAGTGTAATTGACTTGCCAGCAAACAGATGTCTACAAAACATGGTCCCTGAATGACCTTTTTCAGGTAAGGAAACAAGAAATGTCTGCAGGAGAATATACACGGTGATCCAAAACAGTTACACCATGCTGAACAAAGAACTGACAAATAAGGATCACATATTGCACTGGCATGTTGTAATGCAGAAAAAAAAAACATTTTCCAGTTGTGGAACTCTGGCTGTACATGCCAGATATACTGCAACAAACATTTCAGAACTTCAGGTAGAATACAGCAGTCATGGTTTGACTGGCAGAAACAAATTCCATATGACTGATTCCATCTTTGTCCAAAAATGCAATCAACTTGTCTTGATCTTTGATTTTTGCACGTGATATTTTTGGGGCCAGGGCAAAGAATGTGACTGCTATTCCATTGATTTCCTCTTCAATTCAGTATCAAACTGGTAACAAGTGTCATCCACTGTAACAATGGACCCAAGAATGGATCCTAATCACACATGACAATAAAATCTCCAAAAGTTTTGAAACATCTTTCTCATTGTTAGTCTGTGAGGACATGCAGCAAAAATCATGAACAAATCTAGTGCTTACCCAAATCAGGAGATGAAGTGGGAATTAGCAAAGAAAATGCAAGTCTTCTCCAATCAATTGCACAGTCAGTTATTGATCTGTTTCTAGTAAGCTTCACAAACAATCATGTCTGGTATCCTACTTGTCAACAACCAACCAAATGTGGATCAACTTCCAACTCCTTACCATTGCAAAAACATTTAAACCAGCCATGCACATTTTCTGCTCACAGAATCATTTTTGTACACTTTGATAAACATTTCATGTGTTTCCACCACCATTTTCCTCAATTTGAAGCAGAACTTCATGTTGTTCTGGCATTCCATTGCTTGTTGACACCACCTCTCACACAGACTGCTCAAATGACTGTGGTGGAAACCTACTTGCAGTCACATGTATTCCACATTAGGAGGCCCTTCTACATCTCTCTGTGGATGACCTCATGCATGCTAGAACTTGTTGTATGCATTGCATTCGAGATATCCTCACATTCACAAAACTTTTAAGACACATCATATACATATATCTACTAGCTTGTTATGCCCAGGTTTATAAAGTCCCTGTGGCCGTAACTGTTACAACCAGCATTATTAATTGTAAATTTCAAAAAATGTATATGGTAAAACCTATTTTAAGAACATTATCAAAATGCCTATAAACTATGTGGGAAGTATGTCCTTGTAAATAGCCAGTTTATAGAAAAATTATTAAAATTAATTTGGTATATTTGGTTATGTCTAAGCAACACATGGATGATCTGCTGAGGGGATGCCTCCCGTGAGGACTTTTTTGGGAAACTGTCACCTATTTAGATGTTACTAATGTGAAAAAACCCAGAAAATGCCATGTGGCTGGCTTATTGGCCATGCATCACATGATTGACTACCAGTATTCGGTGGTTTTATCCACTCGGCTACTGGTGGGCACTTATTAGAATTAAGAAAGTACCATTTGGAAATGAAAAAACTCAAGCTATTAGATGTAAATAATTAATTAAATACTTATGTAGTTTTTACAGTGTAACATTTTTCAACTCCACATACCAGTGCTACAGTAGTGTAGGGAACATAACTGGTGCCCGGGGCACAACACTTTATTGGCACCCCCCTCCAGAAACACATATAGTTTGTCTTGGAGACCATTTGGGCAACCCTGTGTGAGTGGTACCCGGTGAATGATACACCCCTCGCTATGCCACTGCAGTGCTATGTGCTACCTGTCTCAATAATAATATAGAATGTCTATATTCACTTAATTACTTCTAAAATGATATAGTGTGAAGTAATCATTTTTGTTTTTAATTATATCTGTTTTTGTATGAATTATATTTAGTTAATTATTTTTTAAATTTTTTGCCAATAGATGGCACTACCTGTAAATCCAGCAAATCGAACAGAGACAGAAATTGATATATAGAAAGCCAATCAATATTTTGGGGTGGCACATAACATTCATCTAACAGATAATATCGTAACGTAACTGCCAAGTTTTGTAACAATTGACATAAAAACCTCCTAAAGAGTTTACAGTGAACAAACAGCCTCATTTATATATATATATATATATATATAGAAGATATACAAGATCTTCCAAAAAGAATGCTACCATTTTAAATTATTGTTACAGTAATTTTTATTTCCGTTTCATCCATAGGCAATACAGAATACAAAGTTTTGATTAAATACATTAGCCATATATTGTATAATTGTAAACTAGAAGAATATATCAGTAGCGTGCCATCATTGGAAGTGGTGGAAGTGCCGCTTCCCTTGTATTTTCTAAAAAATAAATACATATTGCGCGATTATTTTCATGTTTTAACATATTTTGGATTAATTTAAATTAATATTTTATTATAACCGCATTATGTNAACAAAGTTTTCTGACAATGGACAACATATATACTGAAATGTTTCAAAAATTTATTAAGATGACAGAATTTTTAAAATAAAATAACTGTTATAATAAAAACGATAATTATTTTAAGAAATGGATGCAACTACAGAAACAATATTAAAGATTTTAAATTATGCAGTAAAATCCAACAATGAACACAGTTTATCATTTCAGTTTTCTTCAGCTGATGGCAGATGTTTGCTGCATATTTCTAATCTTATAATTTGCTATCATTGTTAATTTTGATTCCAAATAGTTTTGAATAGTCTATCAGAAAATAGCATCATCTAAGATAGATTTAATATGTGACAATTAAAAACTCTTTTATGAAAAAATTTCTTATTTTTTGTTGTTGTTGTTATATGTTCATATTAATAAGCAGTCTTCTAAACTAGGGTTGATCCACTTTAAGGATTTTATAATTAATTTTTGAAAATTTGATTTATAGTTTCTTAATGCAGTATTTCAGAATGGGTGAACCATTCTGAGCATAAGAATAGATGGTATTTATTAAGATTATCAGACTGCTTCCCATCATATAATCTCAAGATGAATTATAATCTATATCTGTATTCTGTTCTGAAAGTATTTCCTCCTTTATTTTTATTTTCTTAGCTGTTTTATATTACAGAGGGAAAGTGTGGTGATTGGTCAAAAGCACAACCTCCAATATTTTTTAATTTTTTGGACTCTGGACCATAAAACATCGAAAAATGAAAAAAAATTGGGAGTTTTTTCCTGTATGTATAGATGTTATAGTGTGTGGGAGGGCACAATTTTGTTCACCCTTTTTCAAGCTTAATAACTCCTGTACTTTTTGTGAAAAATTTCTGAAATTTTGCAGGGAGTTTTGTGTATTAGGGGATTGATACTATTAAATTTGGGTGATAAAAGGTTGAGGAGTGGGGAGATAAAGCAGGTTGTGTGTATCTCGAGTAGGGTCGGACTTAATGACAATTTTACTTGTTATTAGCATTTACAATTTTTTATGAAAACTAATTCCTACCCTTAAAATTAAGATGTTTGCCATTTTATAATAGTTAAAATATAAAAAGCTTTTTAATAAAATATGATAACAGATGGCACAACTAAATGTTGATGGGAAAGTTAAGCAGCTTGTTGCTGCATTTTTAAACTGTGTGTTTTATTTTTTGTTAAATAATGATTTATAATTACATTCTGTTACAGTAAGCTTAATTTGAAAATTTTCAAACATCTGAAATAAAACTATTATTATTTTTTAATTGCTTTATTTTATTTTTCAGCATTCTGATGAATATAAGAAATTAAATCCTCAGCAGAAAGTTCCTACATTAGTTATTGATGGAAATGTCTTAACAGATTCTGTAAGTTATTTTATAAAAATTTAATACTATTGTCAAAAACTTTACTTATATTAAATTGCTATTTTTAGACATTTTATAATTGATAAGCATTGGATTCATGTTCAGTTGGGCTGTATAGAGGGTATATAATGTCTGTAAATTGATTAGCAAAACTGTCAATAACTTTCATTAGTTTGTTTTAAAATCAATAAGAATATCTTGTGGAAATAATGAAGTTTTTATATTAAAAAAGTATGATTTACAAGAAAATTAGGTTGCAATTTTTTAACAAAAATATCTAATTTATTACTAAAGTTGATAAAAATTTTTATTTAAATTATTTATTTCAACAGAAATAAATATAATAACATAAACTACTTTTATATAATTTAAATTAAATTTTTCATTAATAAAAATTTTATAGATCTCAATTTTAGAATATCTTGAAGAAAAAAGACCATTACCACCACCATTACTACCAACAGATGCTGCAGCAAGGTCAAAAGTTAGAACAATCGTAAATTGCATTGCCTCAGGAATTCAACCAATACAAAATTTAGCAGTATTACAACATTTAGATGAAGATAAGAAATCATCTTGGCCCAAATATTGGATAACTGAAGGTTTCAAAGGTAAATTACTGGAAACATATGATTGTATACTATAAATGCTGAACTTTTAATTGTGATTAGTTAAATGGTGATTTCCCCTCTGTAATCTTTAAATTGTCTTTAAATTTACAGTAAATATAATTAATTTTAATTTATAAATTTAATGATTGTTTGTTACTTTATTTTTTGTGCACACTATGAAAATTATAAATACTCAATATTCAATACTGCTATATTTATTAGCTAAAGCTAATAAATATAGAAGTATTGAATGTAATCTTTCAATGAAAAAATTGTCAACCTTAGCTTCTGTTTATTGATCAAATTTTTATAGTCTAAGTAACAAAACTATAGTATTAATAATCTGTGTAAAGCTCAGAATATCCATTTTTGACAAACAACAAATATCTCATTTGTATATTTTTTTGTATGCTTTTTTATTATTATTACAGTTAATAAATTACTATAATTTCTGCAGCCTGCAAGTACAGACAATCCCCAAGTTTAGTTCTGGGACCACTGTTGTAAGTCAAACATAAAAAAGATAACAATGGTTGGACTTCCCCAAACTGTAAATAAATCTCATTTTTACACTTACTAGCCATATTGAGTTATTAACACTAAGACACCCAGAACACGCAGGAAGACACATGCAAAGGCTCCAAAAATCATAATGAAATACTGGGATATAATCAACTCCACATGAAGATTACAATATTTTTACTTATTTAATTTGTAATAAGGTTAAAGTGAATTAGTAATAAAATTGAAATTAGAATAATAATCTTAGACTGAGCAACTTCTGAAGAAGTTAGTTTCGCTTTTGACCATTAATGGTGTAAACTTGAGTTGAATAAACATAAGTGTAACACTGTAATGGACAATAACTCTTATCATTTAATTGTAGTATTGTACTGTACCATTAGTATAGTTAGGACTCAAATATATTTTTAATATACAGGTATCTCTTATATAATATGGTAGTTCCGTTCTGAAAAAGTGCCATGTTATGCAAATCCAAAGGAATAATGCAAAATATGGGGTTATGTTCTAGAAGTTAGCAAAAGTATACTATTCTTTTTCATTACTAAGAGAAATATATTTATTAAAACAATTAATACTTTATTTCCAATCAATAATTAACTGACAAGCACAATTAAAAGTACTGTGTTACATGTTAATTAATTAATTAATATTAATTTTAGTTAAATGAGGGCATTTTCTTTTTACAAAGATTTTACAATTACAGTTGTCCCTCTATAGTCCGACATTTTTTAATCTGACATGCTGAGTAGTCCGACGCACCTCCTGTCAAGGTACCCGTCCCCGTTACGTGTCTGCTTGCACAGAAGCATGTCACGATGTGAATCTCCCCATCCAATTCTTACTCGATGACACACATTTCGTGTGTTTTATGTGAGCAGTTCTGTTCGAACAGTTGGAGTAGAGAATATTGTAAGTTACTGCTAGCAAAACAATGCGAAATATGTAATTATTTTCGGTAATCCGGACACTTTTGGTAATCTGACACACCTTTGGTCCC